CTATGCAGCTGAATAGAATTAAGATACAGCTGAAGATATCGTAAAGTAAAATTTATGTGCGCGATATCTTTTATTATTATTATTATTATTATTATTATTATTATTATTATTCTCAAAACGCAGGGGCACCCAACGATGATTTCCCTCTAAATGGATTGAAAACACATTTAAGGCTGTCCAGAGTACTTTTGATCGAAAAATGCATTCTAAACAGCGCTTACATAAATTTAGTCAGGAGGGCTAAAAGCGAAGCTAATGATTTATAGTTTGCTCATACTAAATATAAAATATATCGTGTAATGCTAAGCGGAGAAGGCAACGAGACAGGGCCACCCAACGACTGTTTGCTCAAATACTTTCAATTGAAAGCACTTTTGTAGCTATTCATAAAGTACTGTTAGCTCTATAGAAATGCATTCTAAGTGGCGCTATAAAATTTGCATCTCAGTGTTCGGCCATTCTAGAGGAACTTGAGTCTTTTCGAAATTACGAGGAATTCAGAATTATTTTCCCGAAAATGTTAGATGCAATTTAACGAATTACGAAGGAGATAATTTTTCAGATACCTTCTTTCATCACATTTTTGAATCCGAAAATTTTAGGATTCCATTTTACTGTCTACGAAAAATAGCCTAACCCGAAGAGTGAAATGTGAAAAATTAAAAGTTGGATGCCCTTGACCAGAACTGTGAAAAACAACAATAGGTCTAATTGCAGCACACTTTCTTGTACATTTCCTTGCCGTTGATTTGCATGACTGCAACGTGAAACGTCCAGAAAACTTCCTGGTTTTCACTTTTTATGGAGAAAATGTGGTACATGTTCTTCTTCACTTTTTGCACTGCCGCTCATTTTTTTTAGCTCCGCTATAAGATTCGTATCTGTTCGGTGCTCCTGGGGAAAATTGGGTCTTTTTAAAAATTACAAGGGCTTCAATATTATTTTCCCGATTGATTGACCTAGAAGCAATAGTACCATCCCTCCCATAGCAAGTGCTGCATTGTTGTGCGAACGCGGTCGCTAAGCTTGAATATTCCCGTCGCGTATTAAACCTGGTCGTTTGCGGTCATATCGAAGCGTAAAGGTCAACAGTGGTTGTTCATGAGCGAGAAATTATTGTGCAGTTGCGATGGGTTTTGTGGAGCAAGCGAGTCAGAAGCAGGAGCACACGCTACCTGCAGATTAGCCGTTTAGTTCATGGGAGTTTCGATGACTCATCGCATTAATTTGCCCAGGTGAATATTAATATATTCATTCAGTGACACATACTACGTCTGGGTCGCCTGTGGTTTCCTTTGCTCAGGATCCCACAAAATGTCAAAACTAAAACTACGAACGGTTGGTATTTAAACAGGCAAAAGGTCTAGTTACTCAGTGACTAAGCTGTATATCTATTCAGAAATAAACTATACTTTTAAAAGTAAAGATTGAAGTAAAATGTGTATAATTTAAGGGAACTAAAACAACTCAATGCAAATTCAATGTAAATTACGGCTAACACAACTTCAAAGGGAATATTTAAAACCTAGACATGAAATTCGAATCAAATAAAGAATACATGGGAAATCTCTCCTCACACTACTACTCGGCTTAAATCCAAGACCTTCGCCCTACAATATCTCGGCCAAAAATAATCTAAATTGTCTCTAAAACCTCTTGTTGGAAAGCTTATTTCTTTGAGATTTCGTCGCCACCTTTCGGGTTGTGGCAATATTTTTGATCAGCGGCTTTTATTTGACCATAAACAACTATGTATTTGACCACTCGAACTTTCCGAACATTATGAGCCCGGGAATCACAGTAAAAACCAACGGTTAAAACCATTGCGAAACAGTCTGAGGGTAAGTCGCGCGAAACTTGACGGGCGAGATTTCTGAACATCATGGTACTTGGGTTTTCACCTAAAAGACAATGGAATTTTTCTCAGGGGTTGCAGGTTTGTTGGCCGTTTTTGTTTTTTGATACAGTTTTTCAGGGTCAATACCTCCCAAGTTTGAGCATAAAGTACGTCGCCAAAAACAAAGTTTTGGAAAAATTGCCACCACAGTTGTATTAGATGAAGATGAAAACTTGTTATGATCAGGGTTGCAACGGCATCGAAGTTGTCATAGCAACGAAATGACGCTATTACCTATTTTACTTGCAGCAGTATATCTCGGCACTGGGAACTGTTCTTCGAAAATCATTCACGGGAGCTTTTTCCTCCAATAGTAGCCTCGATGTCCGTGAAGTTTAAGAGAAATCTGTAAGAGCGTTATCGAGATATTTTGGGATAAAAGTTTTTATTGTAAGAAACAGAGTAAAAAATGGACAATATTGTTGTTTGGCCGTTATCTGTAGAAAATGAAGCGCTTCTTGATATGCAATTTCACCTCATAGTAGTTTCAATCTTTTTAAAAGCGTGTGTGAAAGATCATGGGAGATAGCTCCAGCTGATTGCTAGAAAGAAGGGTTTCATTAGTATGTATCGAAGCGCTTTTGTTAGCGGTTTTGTAAACATTTTGGTCTTCTTTAACAAATTAACGAATAATTTTTAAACCGCTCGATAGATTTTTTTAAAAATTGAAGGTTCTTGAGATTAACCTTCCTTTTATGTGACCTTTTAGTTTCAAGATTATTGATATATTGTAAGGCAGTAAAATAAAGGCTACAATTCGTTACTTTTTTGTCGGAAGTTTCGTCATTACAAGTGAAAGCTTCTAATTATTTAAGGCATTGTCTCCAAGTTTCATTTTCACGTGAACAGCAGTAACTAACAATGCATTCGAAATATGCAAGAAAGCTAGCTATTGTTGTGCACGAAAATATGAAACTTAAACACAATACCCTGAATAATGAGAGGCTCACACTTTTAAACACAAAACTTCTGCCAAAATATTAGCGAATTGTAACCCTTATTTTCCTGCCTTACAGTATATCAATAATCTTGATACTAAAAGGTCATATAAAAGGAAGGTCAATCTCAACAATCTTCAATTTTTAAAAAAATCTATCGAGCGGTTTAAAAATTATTCGCTAATTTGTTAAAGAAGACCAAAATGTTTACAAAACCGCTAACAAAAGCGCTTCGATACATACTAATCAAACCCTTCTTTCTAGCAATCGGCTGGAGCTATCTCCCATGATCTTTCACACACGCTTTTAAAAAGATTGAAACTACTATGCAGTGAAATTGCATATCAAAAGCGCTTCATTTTCTACAGATAACGGCCAAACAACAATATTGTCCATTTTTTACCGTATTTCTAACCACAAAATCTTTATCCCAAAATATCTCGATAACGCTCTTACAGATTTCGCTTAAACTTCACGAACATCGAGGCTGCTATTGGAGGAAAAAGCTCCCGTGAATGATTCTCGAAGAACAGTTGCCAGTGCCGAGATATACTGCTGCAAGTAAAATAGGTAATAGCGTCATTTCGTTGCTATGACAATTTCGATGCCGTTGCAACCCTGATCATAACAAATTTTCATCTTCATCTAATACAACTGTGGTGGCAATTTTTCCAAAACTTTGCTTTTGGCGACGTAGTTTATGCTCAAACTTGGAAGGTATTGGCCCTGAAAAACTGTATCGAGCCACCTTAAAGAGAGCCGTAATCCTGTAACTGGATCAGTGCTGAAAAGACCCTTTTATATTGGAGAGCAGGAGTAATTCAATTAACGTTTGCTTATTCAATAGCGAGATTTAGTTAAAACTAGATAGTGAAACGCAATGGCTACTATAATATATAGATTTAGCCAGGGCTAAAAGCGAAGCTCTCAATAATATTTATAGTTTGTTCAAACAAAACATAAAATTTTGTATAGTAATGCTAAGCGGCAAAGGCATGCAAGGCCGGAGAACGGTGAAAAACAACAATAGGGCTAATTAGCAAAAAAGCAACTTTGCACGTGCAGCACACTCTTTTGTACATTTCTTTGCCGTTGTTTTGCACGACTACAACGTGAAATTTCCAGAAACTTCTCAGTTGCACGTTTTATGGAGGAAATGTCGTACTCGCTCACTTTTCTGGTGGCCGATAGCATTTCTCATTTTTTCACCGCCGCTAAAATTTTTTTTTAAAATCTCCGTCGCCCTTTTTCTCGTTGAGCTTCGCTGGCCCGCCGCCCACTTTCTCTTTTTCTCCGTCTTTCTCTTGCTCTATATTCCAAATTTGTGGACATGATAATTTATCTAAGTTTAATACTTTAGACAAAATGGATACAGAAAAAATTTCTACTTTCCGTTATCGTCTTTATTGACTCTTTAGTTTTCTCTGCTTTACAAGACGCCGGTGGCTTTGCTATTTCCCGCCAAAATAGCCTCGAGTTGCATTTCGGTTGCTATACCTGTTGATTGAGTTATTTTACATTGGTATGCCTGTGGTCCGGACGGACGGTCTCTCGGGCGGGCGGTCGGTGTACAGTTACGTGATTACCAAATTTTCTCGGATGGGTAGATTACTTCATTTTCTGACCCATGGTGCTCCGCTGGAGCGCTTCGCGCGCGAGAGCTCCGCTATAAATGATAAATGATCATTATTAGATGGATGAATCCGCGAACGGGCAGAATGAAGCGAATCCTGTATTCTGATTGGCTAACCCAACGGGCAAGATGGGCCCATCAGATCTATCCCACTTAGGATTTCCCGAAATGGTTCTGTAAGAAAAAGTCCTTTTTTGGCGATAAGATAAATTTTTTATGGACCAATCTTGTTCGATCAAGATGGCTGGATATTGACCTCGTCCTTTTGTGCATTTTTATTGACCTCCGCAACTTCAGGTTCGGTTCATAAAAACGCTAAATAGATAGACAGATAGATAGAAACTTTATTTGTGTGTCAAGAAAGAAAAACTAGTCGAGGGGCAGGCCCTCTACTAATAGGGGACACCTACAGTTAAAATATAATAGATACAATAATTAAGTAGATGAAAAAAATTCATACAATATGTTACAAATTGTTAGCTAAAATACTAAAGCTGAGTACTAAAATGCTAAAATTGTTTCCGATGAGATATCAAGTATCACACAGAAGACATCCTTTGCATCCATCATCAATAAGAGATGTCAGATCCTTATTACGCATCCGGTTTCTAAAATCACTTAATGATTTACACGTTTCATCATTTTTGTCCAACTTGCTCCATAAAATGGGCCCTAAATATCGAAGGGAATGCTTACCAAATGAAACTGTGTTAAACCTGGGTAAAAGAAAGTCTGAATTTCTTAAACTGTAGCATGAATCACGAGGTTTAAAAATGTTCGTGATGGCTTCGGAACACATTTTAGTGTGTTTAACCTTGTACATTAGGACGCATATGTCTTGAAGACGTCTATTCAACAGTGTTGGCAAATTAGCCCTATTCAATAACTGATGATAACTGGACTTAGTGTCCTTATACACAGCCCTAAGTCCTCGTTCCTGGATTCTTTCGAGTCTACGAGTATCGCTTGCCCTACAAAAATGCCAAACAAGGTGGCAGTATGTTAAGCATGGCAAGATAGCTGATTTAAAAAGTACTAACTTTGCCGCTAAAGAGAAAAAAAAATGGACAATATCCAGTCATCTTGACCTCACACCTGCTCAATAACGCATATAAATTGTATTGGTCAAACACGATGTTATAGAATTATAGCAAAGTCATGTAATTACAGACATTTTAACTTGTCTACCCAGAGTATTATAAGGAGTATCGGCACTAAAACATCATGATCAAGGAGCAAGGTTACTCAATGAGATAAACGATAAACGAGCCTTATCTTATCACAAACCACACGATAAATAAAGTGAATTTGGAGAAAAAACGTTTAAAGGAGAAGGGGGATGAAAAAAGTAAGGATAATGGCGTTGTGAGTGAACAAAATCATCTCGGATTATTTGATAGTTAGAGCGATAAATAAATTTTTAAGCATTTTTTTATTGTTAAAATAAAAACGTTATTGATCACTATGTCTTTGGAAGTAAAATAATTTAACCTGACAGCTACACGAAAGTAACAAATAATAAGAGAACTTGATATAATTATCTGAAGAAAATAGAAATTGGAAATTAAAGCTTAAAAATTTTCCAATGATTTAGTTTAATTCTAAGGGCTAGTTTGAGTCCTTAGAAACTGCCACTTTTATACATTAAGTCGATCATATCTCCTGGATTTTCTGCTATTTGTTCTTCTCTCCATAGCCATACATTCTTGTTTTAATTTATACGTATACATGATTGAAAACTTTAAATATCATCCGCTTGCAAAAATTAAAGTTGAGCTTATCGAGAAGGGGAGAAGAAAACATGATACACATTCACTAGGACAAAAAAATGAAGTACAGAGAAGAAAAAACAAACAGATCTATAAACTATACAGTAAGATACAATAATTAAAAAAGTTATCACGATGAAAAGTTATAAAGAACCTAACAGCCTTATTTAGCGACAAAATCCGGGATTCGGGTTTTTAAAAGAACAATGAGGGCAAGATTCGGGATTGAAAGCATGCACGGGATATGAAGGGTGCAATCTGTTAAGAGCGTTTTCACATGACCTCACGGAGGCCATATTGATGTTCCAAAACAATAGAACGGCGGCCATGTTGGTGTACCAGGAAAATCCTCTTGGAGTTGTAATCTTTTCTCATGTAAACGTTTTCTTTTGTTTCGATTAATTAGCATAGATGCTGGCCACTTGAGTGAAAACGCTCTTATCAGTGAAAGCTAGTGAAAGAAATATCCATCTTAGTAAATGATGTCAGCATAGCAAACCTTATAACACAGGTGAGCCTTAAGGTGAGCTATATCATGTTCAATAACTGAAATCAACTAGAATATTCTAAGCGTCAAATGAAGGCAAAATTGACCACCAACTGATTTTTAGCGTCAAGATTTATTCTTCAAAATTATAAAACAACAAAACTAAAGTTGTCAACTTCGGTTAACGTTATTATTATTTTTCCAAGGCACAAAGAACCGCATTTTAAAACAACATTTAATCCAAGGTTATCTCGTACTACATGATCTCGACAAAATTTCGAGAATCATTATGTGAATTTCACTTTTCAGGTTTGCCGTTTCTGTTTGTTTATTTTTAGCATTCGAGGTTTCTAAAACTAATGATAGAGTTGGTATAAGATGCCTTCCTATAAAATCCTTCATTTATTATACTTCCGAGTTCAGATTCAGCAACTTTCCCTCTCGAAGCTTCTGTCTTGCGACTTATTCCATTAAAGGTTGCCATATTGAGAGAAACATCAATGGAAAATGCTGTTGATTTTCTCCTTGGTGAAATGTACATTTTCTTTCTTTTCATCGCTCTTGTAAATATGCTCCCGAGGAATCCATCGGAGTCGGAAGACTGTCTTGCTGATCCGCGACATTTCCTGAAAACGTCTCTGATGCCTCTTTGAACGGTGGTGTTAAATGCCGAAAATAAAATTGGGTTTATGGCGCAGTTACAATGTGCAAGAAACAGACGCCAGAATCTAACGCTACAGGGCACTTTACTGAAAATAAGGAAAACTAGGAAATAAGTAATCCAACATACCAGAAAAACGATAGTTATCACAACCATCATTTTAAGAACTTTCTTTGTAGCTCTTCCTCGAGCTCTGTTTAATCGTACAGCCGTGATGCCTTCTTGACGTGGAGTTTTACCTCTTTTGAGTATAAAAGCCACAGTTGAATAGAAGATTAAAATCGCTAGCCATGGGAAAGCGTAAAATGTGATCAGAAGAAACGTGTAGTAGATTGCTCGAGCGTTTTCGTTGCTAAACGCGTTGTCTAATCTTCCGCTGCAGATTTGTCTGGCTCCTGACATCTTCGTCTTTAAAGCTAAAAGATATGGAAGCCTGGAAATTATAGACAAGGCCCATGTCAAGAATATGGCGAGCTTCGCAACTTTGGGTGTGAACAATTTCTTGAGTGGAAAGACGACGGCAAGAAACGTATCTACACTGGATGTCAGCAAAGTCATTACGGACGCAAGAATAGAAACTCCATGGAGAAATGGAACAGTCTTGCATAAGGCGTAACCCGCGCTACCTTGTACGAGCCAGTCTGAACCGATTAAAAACATGGGAATTAACCTTGGCATATAAGTCGTTGTGATAATAAGACTGGCGGCCGCCATGTTAACAACTGCATAATTAACCGTTTTTCGGGTTTTCCCATACTTGTGGACAACGGCTATGATAAAGATATTTCCCAACAATGATGCTAGTATTACAACACTGTAAGCGATTATTCGTCCCAGTTTGACTGACCAGGTATCATTGACGTAACATGCCGTTGATGATGAGGTCGCTTCATTTCCTGGTTCGTTTAAAGAGCTGTTATTTAAAGCGAAATTCATTTTCTGCGGGAAGAAAATAAGAACACATTAATCTACGCAGTATACTTAAAACAAAGTATTCAACTCTGTTGAGACTTTTATCAACGAATATCTTACTCGACTGTGCAAGTTTATGATGTGAGGCTTTGCGAGCTATGCCAGAAACTGACCACATCTGTAACAGATTTCAAATCAGATCATAATTCTGGTATGACACTCTTCACTTGTTTTGTCTCACGTTGCATTGGTTGGCTTTCGTCGTTGTTTCTGAGCGAAAGTCTGCTAGAGGGCGATACTGGTTATTGATCCAATTACATGATAGTAAAATACGTGACAGGAAATAGGAATTAGCATAATAAAAAAGCGGTTGCTAATTCACACACGCCAAACTAGTCCGCAGCTTAACTCCTAAATATCGATTAGAACAGCAGAGACAAAGAAAAAATCTTTCAATAACTTCTTTTTCCCTGTAATTCTGTGCCTTTATGGATTATTATCAATATGCACAGAAGATCAAAATATCATATATCTTTTTAATAACCGCACGCCTCGGGGGTCCTCGAAATATGTGGTTATCAGTTTCATACAGCTTTTTTTGTCTTTAATTTATCAGTAAAATAATCGATTTGAGAGTTTTCTTAACGAAGGCTTTCTCGTTTCTCTAATTTTATATTCCCGTAATTGAAGAATTGATCATTCCAAGACATTTACGAACATTACAAAAGAATATAGTCCACGTTTCTAAGTAAAGTGTTAGATCTGCTTAGTTAAAGCTTAAGATTGTTCTGAGGAAAATACTAAATATTCATGACTGAACACCTGCTCAGACTATGTTATTTTAAAACCTAAATTACAAATTTTACAATTGAGAGTCATAGTAACAAGATTACTAGCAGAAAAAAATTGAAACGCGTTTAAATTTATCATTCTGCCATCGTACGTGTCTCTTCTTAAACAAAACTTGCGTATCTTACCGGCTCGAAATGCCGTTGCACGTTTGAGTACTTTTGTTCCGAAAAGAAAGGGGTTGCCCTCGGCACCCTAGCGATTAAAACTGATATGATTAAAAAAACAGAAAATCTCAGACGGAAATATGTATATTCATTGGAAACAGAAATTTGCATGCTTCTTCAAAACATTACCTGATGCGGACTAAGGTACTCGAGAAGAAGCCCATGGAGTTACTTAAAAGAACCTGTATTAAGGCTGTAATATTACAAAATTTTTATTTTCAAATTCTCTCAAATAATTGCGACTCTTTGCTTCCTGTTTAATGCGTTAATTAACATTCAGAGATGTGTTTTTTCCCCTGTTTATTTTGTTTGTTTTGAAATAGCCACAAAACCTCTTCTTAACTTCCTCGCTTCCAACCAATCACAGCAGGTGGCCTAATTTTTTAAGGATCGCGCGTACAAATTAAGCGTTTATTATCATACATGCATTAAGCGTGCGGGCAATTAGCCTGCGTGGCAGGCGTTAGAAAGGGAAGGGGAAGGGAATTGAGGACGTGAGACCGCGAGGGAGGAGGGAGGAGGGAGGAGAGGAACGCCTGCAAGCAAGCCATTGTTTTCGCCGTCCCGCCTACTAATTCAATAAATAACAAAAATACCGCAACTGTGAATGACTAGCTGTCAAATAAGTCAGGCCGCGCTGCGCGTATTCTGGTCGTATTTCTCGCACTGTTTTTCTTTTGTTTTCCCAAAACAAGAAATCTAAAGTGAAGGTACTAAATAAAAAAGTTCAGATGCGGTCGTCCATTGAAGGAATAAATCTTCCTTGAAAGTTGCAACGACTCGTGACGAGTTACATAAAATCCAGCATAAATCTATTCAAGTTGTTGTTAAAGGAATCGGGCTTCGCAACTTTCAATGCAATGTTTGTCTAAGAAAAATTGAAACACTTTGCTGTCACTCTTTGAATTTCTATCAGGACGAATTAGATCCGGCAGAGCACACAAAAGAACGCTGGTAGTGCAGAAAGAAGAGCTGAACTTCAAAGATTTGCAAGAAAGCAGCAATTAATTATTAAAGTAACTTCATGGCGATTTTATAACCAGGAAGAAGAAGTCCTCAACCAAAAATCGCTGAGGTTTATAGATCGCGTCGTCTTCAACAATCTTGCCGTTGGTAACGCGTGTGAAACAACAGATAACAAGCACACAGGCAGCATGATTTTTTCTTTCTTTCTTCTAGTGAGTAAAACCGACAAGCCGTTGGGAGATTTTACTGTTCAAAACCAGTTAGTAAAACTCATCTGCTGACAGGCCTTTTCCTTCATACGGTTCTTCAACTGCTTTTTTCTATTCTCATTTCAAGCTGAAATTAATGTCTTCCAACGATGAATTCCCGTAGGGAAATCTCATCACGCTTCACTAACACTAAAACGGCGTGATGTTGTTTTCAATCAATCGGGAAAAGGTATGAAGTCGGAGATTGACATTTGATTAATTCTTACCAATCACTATTTTCACGCTCAGAATCTGAGCGTGAGAAATGAAGAAAACAATGGTCTCCTTGCAGGCGTTCCTTCACAGGTAGCCCAAGCTCGAAATATGAGCAACGGCGAGCATCGGCATTGTTGCGTAACATTCTAAATATAAGGATTTATTTGAGAAAAAAGACCTATCGTTTCTGTAACCTAGGAAAATGAAAGGATTTCAATAAAAAAAACAGCTTACCTTATCTAAAATGTGTGTTACATCTCTCGTTTGCGGTCCATGGGCCGATTTATGGCCGTTAAATGGGTTGTACTGTAAACGGTTTACTCTCTATATATAAGGTTTACCAAGGCTGGGGACTCCAGCGAAGAGGCCCGTCGGATCCACCGAAAGAAAACGGCTGTAAATTCGCTCCAACGGCTCCAGTCGTCTCTTTAACCCGTTATTTTCTTTGGAGCAAGAGATTGTCTCCCACCTCCCAGTGTGAGTAAGTTGAGTCTCACGCTGTGTCGCTATCTTTCAATGGTAACGCGGAGTTCAAGCCAAAGTTCTGTCGATGACTTCAGACGGGAAAGGTTGCAGAGATTGGTGACCTTTGATTCGTTCTCGGTGAAAATGCGTCTTGAAGCAAAATCACGAATGGAAAGCACAACTACCGTGTTACCTAGGCGGAATTTGGAGGCGATTGGAGCCGTTGGAGCGAATTTACGGCCGTTTTCCTTCGGTGGATCCGTCGGGCCGCTTCGCTGGAGTCTTCAACCTTGGTAAACCTTACATCCCGGGATAGACAGAGAAAACCGTTTACAGTACAACCCATAAAACGGCCATAAATCGGCCCATGGGCCACACAGGAGAGATGTCACAAGCATTTCATGTAAGGTTATCTCAGATAACCTTACAGAAATGATAGGTTTTTTCCTAAAACAAATCCTTATATTTAGAATGTTACGCAACAATGCCGACGTTCGCCGATACTCATATTTCGAGCTTGGCTACCTGTGGTGCCTTTCCTTTCTCCCTCGCGCCTGCCACGCAGGCTTGCGGGCAATAAAAGAGATTTATTTTTTCCTTCCTACCAAATGTTTTTACCACTACTATCACACTTTCCCCGTTCGTTCTTCCTTCTTGAAGTTTTTTGGTCGCACTAGAGATAGCCATGAACTTAAGAGTAAAAGGCCCTATACTATCCTTTGGTTTGCAAACTTTATGACATCTGTTATTCTATGGATATGATAAACGGAAACGGTATTAAGTGCACTTTATAAAGCCCACTTTCTTCAGTCAAGCATACCGGTAGACATGCCTCCGCCACAGAATGGAACTACTATTTAAATAAAGGCATGGTTTTAGTGTTATTGAGGGATGAGAGTTTCATAGAAAATAAAAATACAAAGTATTTGGAAGTCATGGGTAAGCTGGAGACGGAGATTTGGAGACGGAGAGTTGGAGACGGAGACGGAGAGTTGAAGATTTGTTTTGGCGGTAAGGAAAAAGTCGATGCATTCACGATCAATTGACTTTCTCTCGTGCATGTCAACTGCAGTACAATGGACTGTTGTGATTGGTCGTTATTTATTATCTCTCACAGCATAAACGTTTAAAAAAGCAAGTTTTGAAAATATTTGCGAGATTGTGGTGTCTTGCAGATCGGGGTTCGGGGTGATCTAACTCCTGCAAAATGTATCGGAGATTCAACCTTAAAAATTCCATAGACTGAAAGAGCATAAATCAAACAACTAGCGGGGCTGCCATTTTAAGGTTTGAGATAAGCCTTGAAGGTTTTCTTGCCCCCTCTAAAAAAAGCGATCGCCAACCTAGTATCAGAAAGGCTTAGGCTAAACTAGCCAATTTTTATGGTCTCCCTATGAAGCTGTGCGACTAAAATCGAATTTCCTGAAATTGGGTTCGCCGTAGGTTCGTTAGCAAAACCGGGTTAGGCAATAGGCTTAAATGTCTCTCTGGTAATAAATACAAAATCTCCCAAATCTTTGAATTTGCTGATCATGAAGAGATACATCACTTACAAAAAGCTAAATATGTCATCTTTATCTCTTATGATTTAACAGCATTGCTGACAAGTGACGCTTTGGAGGAAAATCTCCAGATTCTCGCCGCAAAAAGGCCTTTCTGGAAAATCGATTTTTTGAATTCAAACATACACATAACCTGAACATAAATGAAAATGACCTTCGCACTTGACTTTGTTGACTTGCATTCGTGGAAACTTTGTGTTTTTCAGCGGTAGTGTTTCTCACAGCTAGAATTACCCCTATAACAGTTTAGCAACAGTTAAAAAGAAATAAAAGAAAAGAAAGCAGGACGGAAACATGTTCCTGGCAACTCAGAGTCCGCCCAAATAAGTAAAAAATCCGTTCTTTGTTTGTTGTTTCGGAAAACATAGATTCAGTTATATCATTCTGAAGTGCGTCTATTCGGTCATTGATAGGCCACAGGACTGAATTCAAATCAGTGACACACTCGCCTGCGGGCTCCTGTGACACGTGTTGCAAGAGATGTATTTACATTCGGCGGAGCTAAACGTAGTGGCAGTGACAGAGAATGTAAATACTTTCCTATTGGTATGAACGCACGTGAGCCGTTATGGCGTTAATTGACTCTATTGTTGTAAGGTATATAAGGTTTTGACAGTTGTAATGTATTCATCTCAGCTCTCGAACTATCAAATTTTAAAATGCCTTCCGATGATGATCTCGCGCGAAGCATTTCCGAGCTCAAAGACGAGTTTCGATCTGGTTTATCTTCTTTAAAGAGAGAACTTGCACAAGAACACGACGCTGCGCTGAAGAAGCTCAAGACAGCTACTGCTAATGTTCCGAAGTTTTAAAAGAAAGGCAACGAGAAGCAGTTCCTACTTAATTCTGAAGTTCTTGAACACGTCCAGTCTGCTTCTACCGCCCTTCAGGCGTCTTCGCCTCAAGTTGAAAAGGCCTTCGAAGAGTTAAAGGAAAGTTCCAATTTTTCGAACCCTTTCGTTGTCGTCAATTGGCCTAAGGCTCACCGTGATTCGCGTGTTGGCAGTGTTGGCAGTTTTGGCAGTTTCGGCCTTTTCAGGAATCAGTGCCCCGTCCTTCAGGCGTAGTTTTCACCTAGCCAACCTGGGAATCGTACGTGATTGACTCGGATGTTGGTGCACTCGTCGAGGACACAGATAAGTTAAGGAATTTTGTTGAAGATGATTTTGACTTTTTTTGAATATGAACAGGGTCGTAGTTCTACTATCGTTGTAGCCGGTAGGCTAAAATCCCATATCATTGTTCAGTTTTGGCGTTCTATAGGCGCCAGTCAATATATTCTAGATTTTATCGAGCATGGTTATCGTATTCCTTTCCACTCTAGTTATAATAAGTCAGCTTTGACGCATTCTGATTTTGTTAACGAAGCTGTTTCCTATTGTTGGTTACCAATCGCATTTTTGGATCTGGGGTCCTGCCCCATAACGTCAACCCTCTTTCCGTTTCTGTTCAATCATCTGGGAGGAAGAGGTTGATCTTGGACCTTAGGTTTGTAAATAAGCATGTCTGGAAGCCAAAGGTCAAGTTTGAGGTTCTTAAGGTGGCTCTGAATTATTTTGACAAGGGTCATTTCATGTTTTCATTTGACATTAAGAGGGGTTATCATCATGTCCTTATCTTCCCGCCCCACCAGACATTTTTGGGTTTTTCCTGGTTTTACCAGGGTAAGGTCCGTTAGTTTTGTTTCAGGGTCCTGCCCTTCGGCCCCTGTTCAATCCCTTTTGTTTACACAAAGATTTTTAGGCCTCTCGTTGCCTACTGAAGGTGGGTTGGTATTCACATTGTCGTTTATATTTATGATGGTTTAGGGGAGGGGCCTTCATATCCGGTTGCTTTAGACCATTCCACCAGGGTTAAGACTGATTTGATTCGTTCTGGCTTTGTACCCTACCTCGAGAAATCTGTTTGGGTTCCTACATCAGCCCTTGATTGTTTGGGTTTCCCCATTGATCTTTTTCAGGGTTTCCTTTTTGTTCAGGGGATAAAACTCAAACGGGTTCTTTCTGATATTGATTCCCTTTTAGAGGCTAATTGTTGCACTGCCAGGGAACTGTCCGTTCTTGCTGGTCGTATTAATTCCTTTAAACTAGCTGTAGGTTATGTTACAACCGTTGATGACAAAGTTTATTCATATGTCCATCGTCCTTCAGTCTAGTTGGGACTCTAGGTTTCCTTTGTCCGATTCTGTCAAAGAAGAGCTTTTTTTTCTGGAAAGAGAACGTTCGGTGTTTGAATGGTAGGCCCACTGGGCGTCACTTTTCATGTTCTCGTCCCATTGTTTATTCAGATGCTAGTGATCTAGGGGTTGGCGGTGTTGTTAAGACCACGAGGGTGTTATTTGTCATCGTCCGTGGACTGCTAATGAAATGTTTCCCAGCTATATTTGTCTCTCTAGTTTTTCCGTAGTTTTGTCAGGGCGCGCGATTTAATGGTTTACGGATAACCGCTACATTCCGTCCATTATTCGCAACGGGAGTATGAAGCGGGGTTTACACGAACTTTCCGTCTCTATTTTTCAGCTAGTTTTGCGAAATGGTAATGATTTGCAGGTGGACTGGATTCCTAGGTCTCTCAATGGGCACGTGGATGCCATCAGCAGGATCGTTGACTTTGATGATTGGGGTGTTTCGTTTGAATTTTTTCGCCTTGTAGACAACATTTGGGGTCCACTTCCGTAGATCGTTTTGCCCATTCTAATACCGCAAATTACCCAGATTTTTTTTTTTCTCGTTTCTGGTATCCTGACTTGGAGGGGGTGGATGCCTTTTGTTTTGACAGGGCGGGGGAGAATAACTAGCTCGTTTCCCCAGTGTCCCTTGTTCCCAGGGTTATTAGGCATTTGTTTGTATGTCGGTCCATGGGCGCTATTATTGTCCCCAAGTGGGTCTCAGCTCCATTTTGGCCCATGCTCTTTGGTCCCCATTCCCCCTTTTCCTTTTGCGTTAAAGAGACCATTGTTTTTACCAATGTTTCTAATATTTTTGTTCCGGGCTCCACAGAGTCTATTTTTTATGGCCCTAACTTTAGTCTCATGTATTAGCCGTCCGTTTGTCGGCTTGTTAGATTTGTGCTTCTAGGCTTAGTTTCTTTTCCGCAGTTACGTGTAGTTATTGTTTAGCCTATATTAAGTGTGGTTTATTATTTTTGAGTGATTTGTTCTGTTTTTTTTTTGCCTCGGTGGCATTTACGCGGGTCTCGGTGACCTTGTTTGTACCTTCACTGATCCCGACGGGTCGTACCGTTACATTCTTGCGTGACCTCGGTCAGTTTTGAATCCTTCCAGGTCCCCCATATATATGGTCGCGTGCGCCTCGGTGGCCACTCTCTTGTTATGTATCTGTGTGATAGTTGTATGTTTTTGCACTACATATTACCGCGCGTTTCCTTTTTCTGCTCCTTTTTTCTCGTGCATCTTTTTCATTTTTTAAGTCCTTATATTGAATCCATATGGTCTTTTATTTCTTCTGTTTTTCAGATGTTTTTCGCTAGCCCTATGTGGGCTGAGCTTAACGATGTCAGAGCTCCCTCCCTAAGCTGCGTAGCAAAGAAGCTACCGGAGGTAGTCCTTGGTTCCAGGGCAGATTCGACTACTCTCATCTACCTCAACAGTTTTAAGCGATGGCGTGCTTGGGCCAACAGATTTCCCGAGGTCGCAGTGCTGCCTGCTACTCCGGCTTACGTTTCTTCATACCTGCTCAGTGTTCTCCAGGCTTCTAGTTCTCCTGCGCCGGTCCAGAACACCCTCTATAGCATCCGCTGGGCTCATGATTTTGCTGGTTTTGACTCTCCTACCAATCATACACTTCCCCAGAAGGTCGTGGAGTCCGCTAAGAGAAGGCTATTACACCTCACTTCCAAAAAGCTCCCCATTACACCCGAAATTTTACTAACGTTTTTTCAGAGTCTCGATGGATCTTTGGTGGACACGAGATTCATCGCCATGGCGTTACTGGCCTTTGCGGGGTTCTTAAGATTTGACGAATTGGCTAATCTGAAACTTAAAGATTTAGCTCTGCATGACACCTCGTTTTGAGCTTTTATTGAAAGTAGTAAAACTGATCAATTTCGCGAGGGCGCTATTGTCCCTATTGTCAAGTCTGGCACGGATTGTTTTCCCCTGGGGTAATTTAGAGAAGTACTTATCGTAAGCCAAACTCACTTTACCGACATCTTCCCAAGGTGGAGACGACTATTTGGTCGGAAATATTCAACCAAGTCTGGCTCTTACAAGACATTAGGAGCCTGGGCGGATGGACTACAAGATGTAGAGAAGTTTTATTGAAGAAGACTACAGACGTGGGCTTAGATCTTACGTCTTTCTCTTGGCACACCTTCAGAAGTGGCGGTGCATCTGCCGCCGCTAATGGTGGTATCTCCGATAGAATGTTTAAGCGCCATGGTAGATGGCGTTCGGAAAACGCTAGGATGTTTACTTTGCAGACTCGATAGAGAGCCGATTAGCGGTCTCTATGTCTCTTGGACTGTATTGTTTCCCGTTCTTTGTTTTCTCAGCCGCTCCATAGTTCGAGCTGCACACCCATTCCCGTCTCTTAGTCGTGAATATAAATAGGAAATGTATTTACATTCGGCGGAGCTAAACGTAGTGGCAGTGACAGAGAATGTAAATACTTTCCTATTGGTATGAACGCACGTGAGCCGTTATGGCGTTAATTGACTCTATTGTTGTAAGGTATATAAGGTTTTGACAGTTGTAATGTATTCATCTCAGCTCTCGAACTATCAAATTTTATTTTTATACCTTACTTTATTCATCTATCGATTGATTTTTTACCTTTAACCCCCAGAGGTTGTGCGACCGCATCGGTTGGGGAATACGTTCCCAATTTTTTCCCATTGGGTTTTTTGGGTTTTCGTATCAGGCGGCGCACGTGAATAGTTTAGCCTGAGTGACTTTATTTAGGAATATTTGTTTACCATTCTTTAGTTATGATGTTGAACTTTGTATGTTATTTGGACGGCATTAAACACTCAGGCTCCATAGTTCGAGCTGCACACCCATTCCCGTCTCTTAGTCGTGAATATAAATAGGAAAAAATGTTTCAATTACTAACTGGTCAGACATCATTTGGATTGACTGTAACAGACACTGAATTGGCCGTTCTTTGCATGTATTTATATGTTCCCCTTATAGAATCAAAGTCTTTCTCATCAAAACATCTGCAACGGAAGGATTAATATGATATGAATCAGCTTAAGATTCACAGTTCAGTGACTGAACTGTGAATCTTAAGCTGATTCATATCGCCCCATATAAGGTAATTCGGGAAATTTTGGCTTGTGAAGTCTGGAATCTGGACAGTTTTTGCCTGCCGAATCCGGAATGCTGGGTTCTGGAATCCGTAATTCAGCTTGAGGAATTTGGAATCCAAGTTTAATTCACAAAGAATCCAGAATACTCAGCTTGGAATCCAGAATGCAATACTGTCTTGTATTACTTACATGGGGCGATTAGGGACTTTAAGATGCCACCACGGCGACTGCAACAAGAACGTCAAAAAAGGAAATCGGTGGTTCAGTCCGTCTTCCAGTATGACGTCACGTCTCGCTTCAGTGGCTTTCAAAATGGCGAGCAAAGTGTTCATAGGAAGAGACGGATAAAAATTTCGAATTTATCACGGAAATACTGTTACGATTTCTTGGATTTGGAGATTGTAAGGTTCCTATTGTCGTGGAAAACTAGACTTCAGAATTTTTTTGGAATGAAATGTCCAGTGGTGTAATGAATTTTAAAGATTCTTTTCTATCTTCGAACAAATTTTACGGGCAATAATGCCGACCGGCCACATTTTTGAGGGCCAGTGCACAACAAGATTGAGGAATTTAGACAGCAATAGGAGGTTCATCAAAGGATGTATTATACTTTACATTGTGCGTATTTTCAGCTCTTCAGAGCTAGTGAAACCCCATATCAATCCTTTCAGAGTTCGCTTAGCTGTTCATGTAGAGTTGAAAGAGGAAGCTAAATGACAGGTATTTGTGAGAGACTGTGAGCATTGAATCTTGTTGTTTTACCGCATTTTAATACTGTATTGGACACTGAAACCTGTTATTCTGTAATTAAATCTCGAAAACCAGTAAAAGATTTCGTTTAGTTATTTTTTGAGGGAAAACCCAGTGGAGATTTTAGGGCAATAATATTGATGATTATGAAGATGTACCAAAGACAAGTTTAAATTTTGCCAGTGGGTCACAGGTGGGTGTAATTTAGAAGTACAGTTTGTGGTGTACTGTGTGTTGTTTGTCATGATGTCAACTAACATTTAAAACAGTTCAGCTGTTTCAGAAGAGGGACATGTCTTGGCAGCTTACCGTTTTTTCTGGCCTTAAGCTTGGCCAGTATGCAGATCAAGAGTTGAGCTCTGATCTTGAAATCCCTTTTCCAAAATAAAACTTCGGACTTAAGCGTAAAATATATATTGATCAATGTGCATAATCAGCAGGGTCAGCAGTAAGAATAAAGGAAAACGGGCCAAAAGCAAAAATAGTGTTAAAAAACAAAGAGCAAACAGAAGAAAAAAAAAAGGTACAAAGAAACAGAAAACAGCGTCGCTGGGAGTCGAACCCAGTTTATCTGCATGTGTAAGCAACTCCTTGACCACTGAACCACAGTGACTTGAAAAATTAGTTTAGTTATATCAAAACCATTTCTCAGTCTGCCAAAGACCTGAAAGACGCTGTTTGAAGCTGGTGGAGCTGTATTTATCATAAATTCAAATAATTATACATTTTAGGAAAATTAGCTTAAGCGCGTATTTCAAATAATAATTGATCGAACTAGCTCTACTGAATTTGGTGGAGAATTAGAAGATCAACAGAGGCAAATAATCGAAAGGATTTTAGCAACAGAATAGATCAAATATAAACATGTGTGATCTGTGAATGAAAACTCCTATTCTGGAGACTGAGACCTTGCCTATTTTAGAGAAAAAAGGATTTAAGTTTGGATGACCTTGCCGATCCCGTAAAAAAGATGGCGATCCCGTAACACGGCCCGCAAAACAAATATTATTAACAAAATTATACAATTAAGGGACACAAAATATCAAAACGGTTTACTCATTATCAAGCAGATTATAGCAACACCAAAGCTCACACACTCTCGATCAAATTAGCGATATTTGCTAGCTTCTTAGCTTTTCCTCGACCTCGCTCGTCCTAATAACTGTGGTATCCCTTGCTAATTTGCACAAGCGACCCGAGGCTCTCGCCCGTTACTATGTGACGCCACACTGGCAGACGGAGTGGGTCAAGAGACGTAGGTGGAAAACAATAGAGTCAACCTCCCCCCCCCCCACGAAGCAAAACAATAACTCTGCTCGTGCATCACACTTTTTTGTCCAATTCCTTGCCGTCACTGTACGACTACGAAGGGAAAATGCCTAATTTCACGTTTTATGGAGGACGTAAACAAGCGACGGCTAAATTTTCTTTCTCTTTCTAAACTTGAATATGATTCGTAGGAATTAGGCTAAAAAATAGTTCGCTTGCATTTGACAAAGTAAATGAGTTGGAGTAATCGCAGATTCACTTTTTAAGTGACGTTTTCGTGGCCTGTCGCCGTCGTGGTTTCTTACACTCCCTATTCATACGTACGGCCGCACAAAATTGAAACTCTTTTAGAGACGATAGATACGATTATGAACATGTTTCCAACAATAATTTATACAATTTGTCTGTGAATCGACACGCGATCTTATCACAACAATCCCAAGGGATTTACTTTAATGCATTTAGGCTGATGCCATGGTGTGGCCCCTTGGAGCGTGTCGGTCGGGACTGGGTAAACAGATAAACCGAAGACATTTAAGGAGTGCCACATAACTAAAAACGGCTCTCTTGCTGGGTATAGATGATCCGTTAGAATTATCCTAGGTACTGCCTATAATTTATTCTAGAGAAATGCTTTACTGACAAAGCTCGACGGGATGCTATTTGCGTGCATAAACACTCAGCGAAGATGCCCAATACATTTTCCAGAAGAGAGTATTCACTTTGTTGAAACTCTGTAAATCGAAAATGTCGCCCATAGAAGTTTTAAAGTCTAAAAAAAAGTTCGATTACTGTTCATAATCTCTAGATTTTCATTATTGGATCTTTTCGGCATACAAAAGTTCAGTTAGTGATTTTACTGCAACTTTTTTGAGTGCAATGCAATTAGTTAATTGCTAAACTTTCTAGCACTGTAACTACGTATGTATATAGTATTTAACATTTATTCCTCGAGCTAAAATGGGCTCTGAGTCAATAGCCTATGATGCCGAAGGCGGAATGGACTATTGACTCAGAAACCATGAGGGCGAGAGGAATAATTGTTTTAGTAAAATCCAACTAGTTGGTCAAAATATCGACAATAAAAAAAGTGATTACTTAAAGCTAGACTTTAATCCTTTTTTGCCGTCAAAAAGCCGACGCTTTTCGCTACCAGTGGGCTATGACATATAGCCTAGTAGAACTCAACCAATCAGAACGCAACAATGATAATAGACCACTAGCTGGATTTTACTAAAGCACAGTAACCCGGCAGGAATATTAGGTCCATTAAAGTTGTGGTAACAAAAAAGCCACTTGAAAATAGTTAGTGGATATGTCCACAGTAACCAAAGTCGATCTCTTTTTGAGTCAGCATTAATTAAATTTTAAATGCATCATCCAGCCAGATGCCTTTCAAGGCTTACAAAAACGATAAAAAGAATATTGGTACGAGCAAAAAAAGTCACATGTGAATGAATGAAAATACTGTTCGGTTGTTTAACATTCATTTCTTCATAAACAAGAAATTTACCTTTACCTAACGAAAACCGACTAAAAGGAGCACTATGGGTGAGCGACCCAGCTTGCAATCTTTATTCTGTTGTTAAGGATCGTGTCAGTGCTTTCATCGCTTTTCGCACAGTTTACATCCTTCTGACCAAAAATGGAAGGACTAAAACTTGAATCTTAAAATAATTTAGGTTTTTCTATAGAACTCTTAAAGAAGCGTCTTTTGTATTTTTTATCTTTTGGTTTTGCTAT